TTAACTCAGTGGTATATGGTGAAAATTCCGTTTTATTGTTGATTGTTGATTGGAAAATTACAGGGGAGAGGATCCCAAATAATTATTCCAAAGCTTGAATTATCACTCGACCCTTGCTGCAGCTGTGTATACATCTTCATACAATCGGTTTCAAGGTAATGTTTCAAATCTAGTCTTCTAACTGCCAACTCTGAAAAATAACGTTATGCAGTTTCTTTTAAAAAATAAAAAAAAGCCAAAATATTACGTTTTGCCTAGAGTGTATACGATAGCATATACAATCGATTGTATGATATAATTTATTTATTTTGGCAAATTTGTATGATATAATTTACCAACTTTACAGTCTAACAATAATAATAATTTTTTCTTAAAAAAAACCCTTTGTTCATTCTAGTCGTTTGACCCACCTCTCTCCTTATATAGCCCTAGGCGACGATGTCTCTCTCTCTCTCTCTCTCTTCGATCTCTTGTTGCGTTGCTGTTGTTGTTGCGTTGCGACCCCAATCGACACCGCTATTTTTGTTGCGTGGTTTCTGCGTTGTGGCTGTTCTTAAACCATTGCTAGGGTTTCGGTTTTATAAGGTATTCTTCTTCTTCTCTCCTCTTTTTCCTCGCAATTTTGTATAGAATTGTTTATGTATTTATAATTTTGTTCTGATTTTGTTGAAATCCTGAGTTTCATTGGATTTTTGTTTGAGTTTTGTGTTCTATTGTTTGGGTGTTTTAAGTGCTGCGATTTGGGAGGTTATTGGTGTTTGGGTTTCAGTGGTTTTGGGGCAGAATTGGCTGTAGTTTTGCAGAATTTTGGGGCTGAATTTGGGTGGTGGTTGTTGTTGTGTTGTTTCTGCCTCGTATGTCTCAATATGTTTCTATTCCAATTAAATTAAAGCAACAATATTTAACTTTGATTTTATAATGAAAAGATGTAATGATAGGTATACAATGATGAAAAAATCTTGGTAACAATAACGAAATGATTAAATCCTTTAATTAAAAAGAAAACGATTTTTCTCGCAAATTACAAATTAGACTTGTAGAAATCTATTACTTTCTACTAACATTAATTAAAGATAACAAATAGATATAATTAAACAACAACCTAAAAAAATTTAGCATAACACACTGCAAAATTAAGTAACCATATTGTTACAAACACATCAATGTGATTCGAAGTGTGAAAGGCAAAGGAAAGAGGAAGCGAAAAACATACCCGGTTTAAGAGTAATATCAACTTTTTTTTTTTTGGATGGGAATATTAACTGTTTTTTATTTACTATATATACTTCCTCCGTCACATATTATTTGCAACATTTCCCAAAAAGGGAAACTACACATTATGTGCAACAAACTTTTTCTTTCCTTTTTTGGTAACTTTTTTTAAATGAAATTACTATAGTACCCATAATACCCCCTGTTTAAGAACGAAAAGCATAATTTTAGTTGCTAATTTAAATTAATTAGATTAATTAACATTAATAATTAAACAACTCCTCTCCCTGCCTATTGCTGCCACCATCACCATCGACCACCACCATCATCATCGACGACCATGAGAACCACCGCTGTAATACCCCCGAATTTTGAGAAATACTTTCTTAATTATTCCTTTGATTATTTGAATTTGGAGCCAAAATATAAGTATTTAATTATTTGAACAATTAATTTTTTTTTTGTATTTCTAAATTAACAATAATTAATTATCTTTGTCGGTCCATATTTTATTAATTTCAAAATTTATGTTGTACGTACTTTTAATTTGGACTTAACTATATTATTTTTTGAATTATCAATTAATAATATTTAACAATTTTAATTATCATCTTATTATTTACAACTACTTTTAGTTTTGATATTATCTAAAATATTTAATACATTTGTATTTTTATGAAAATCATTTATTTTATTAATTAAAATCTGATTTTCGTTAATAAAAAAAAAAAAAACAAAAAAACAAAAAAAACTTGTTGGTCATATGTTTTGGGAATGATATCATATTTCTTAACCTTTAAGTAGTTAATTTCTAGATTACTTTGATTTCTATCCTTACTCCTCCAACTAAATCAATATTAATCTTATTTTATTTTCTCATCTTTTTCATTTGATTTCTCACGTAACTTAACCTAGGTCAAATTACATTCAAATTAATTTAACTAACCTAAACTTATCTTGTTTTCGTACTAATCCCACACTCCCTTGAACTCTATCTTCCTACCCTTAAACACTTGTAAATAGACCCTTAGTTACTCCCATTTACTCACATAAAAAAACAGAATATTCTCTACTTTATTTCTCAACTTACGACCCTCTCCTTCTCCTTCTATTATCATTTCTTGTTTGCTCAAATAAACACCGCAACCGCACCACCATTGCTGCCGCCAACTGCCACCATAATACTGTCGCCCTAACACCATTCATTTCACCACTGCCTTCCGCCACCTCACTGTTGATGTAACTTGCTGCCAGCAAGCTAAGGTGCAATGGCACTTTCTTTCTTTCAACCTTCTTTTATTTTGCCGCAAGAAACTAGAACAATAACAAAATAATAATTGCTTCCTATCTTATTATCATTATGAGTATCATTACTAATTACTAATATCATTAATGTATAATACTAATGCTATATTGATACTAACATTACATTTTTTTTTATACTAATATCACTAGTTTTGATACTAACATAAACTATTAAAGTTTGATTTAATATAAGGTTAATAGTTTCGGTAATTCATGCACAAGTAGTGTATTGTTTATAATTTTGGATTATTTGTTAACCGTATATTAATTAATGTTGTTTAAATTGTAGGAGGATTCTTTTGATCGTGACCAAGTGTAGTCGTACCTTTATTTCTCGTGATCAAGGTACGTATAGGTGGCTAGGTCCTTAATATAAGTTTTGAATGCATGTTTTGGTGAATGTTTATAATTGTTTAAGTAAATGTTCGTATCAAGATTTGAGTTAATAATTTTCGTGATGAGTTAAAAATATATTTTTTTACGACTTTAAAGTTTGATTAGTTTAATAAAAGTTGTTTATAAATTACTGGTTACAAGTTAATTGAATTGAATCTACAGCTCACTATGGCCCTGAGTATTTGATATTTATTGCCCTCTACCCGGGACTAGTTAAGTAAGACCATGAACTTTGTATGATCTGGTCTTTCCTCGAGTATAGTTTAACTTGTTTGGGTGGTGTGCACAGTTAGGTGAGGAAAATCGGTTTTGGAAATAAGTCTAATTTTTGGAAAGTGTTGAATTTTGAGAAAGTCATATTTTTTGGCATGTTTACATTTAAGAAATTAAATTATTTTCGAAAGCATGTTTACGTAATAAAAGTATTTACATGCCTTGCACTTATATGTACTTAGCGTTTTTGCTAATCCGTTTTCCTTTTTGTTTTGGTTCGCCCTGTTTACCATTATTTGTAAGCAGTTTTGATGTCAGGTGTGGAGTTGATCGTGCGCATACTTGAGTCGGGATTGGGATCACCTAGTTAGGAATTTACTCATTCATGAGTCAGACATGTTTTTATTTGGAGTATTTTCAAACTATATATTATGATTAATATAACATTAATAAAGTCAGTTATTTTCCGCTGCCATTTTTAGTAGTTAAGTAAGCCTTACGTTATCACGTGGCGGTAATACGCCCAAGTCTATCTCTACGGTATTTTATACGTATAAATATAGTATTTATGTAGAGGGAGATTTGGGGGTGTTACAATCGCACCAGATCGACCACGAACACCTTCGACACCAGACCACCGAAACCAAGGCCACCATTACAACCACCAACACCATCTTCTTCATCTTCTTCTTCTAGGTTTCATCTTCTTTATTGCCGCCGCCACCACCATCAGCCGCATTCTTCTTCGTCTCAATATAAGGATCTCAGATCGAATTATAGAGAGAGAAATGGTGTGCGATGTTAGAAAATCGACTGAATTCAGATGTAAAGCTAAGGGTTGGTTGTTCGTGGTGGATTTCGATCCGCTGCGGCCTACAAGGACAGTGAGTGAGGTGGGTTGGGTTCCTGCTGCAAGGTGGCTTTCAATTTGCTGCGAGGAGGGTGAATGCAAGCTAGGGTGGGGTTTCGGGATTGTGCTGGTGGTGGGGTTTCGGGAATTCGCTGGTGGTGGGGTTTCATGTGGTGGCCGTTGGGGTTTCGGTATTATACTGATGGTGGGATTCCAGGATTTCGCTCAGATGGTGGGGTTTCGCGATTAGGCTTGTGAGGTTTCGGAGCATGGTGGTGGTGGTGGTTACGGGGTAGCAACGAGTAGGTGGATATGGGTGGTGGTGGATGTTGCTGCTGGTAGGTGGTGTCAGGGAGGCCATGGCAGTTGGTAGTGGTGGCCATTAATTAATTATCCCCCTTTCTCTCTCTTACCCTTAATCACACACCCTTCAGTTTGTTAATCAACCATTAACAAATTTTGTCTTGGGAAACGTGCAACAATGTTTGTTGCAGATAATACGTAACGGAGGAAGTATATAAATTGTAAATTACTATGTAAAAGTATTTTTTTTTTCTTTGCAAATCGCATTTGTTCATTGAATAAATAAAATTTTAGGGATTTTTTAAAAAATAATTTAATAAAAATAGTATGGAAGTGCCATGTGTCAACAATGTATGCAAACACCCTGTTATTAAATATAGTAATAGATAATAATTATTATTATTAAGTGTGTGTGACATGTTAATGCCTGCCTTCGATGATCTAAGGTCACTCGCTTATGTCTGGTCCAGCTTAACATTTTTCGATTGCCCCCTTTCCCCCAGGTTGCTTTTTTGTTTCTTGTTTCTATCTTCTCGAATTTTCTTAAACGTTTTTCTGTTCTCGTTGGTGAATTTTTTCAATTTTAGTTGCTTGTGTATTACATTTGGTTTTTTGTTCTGTTTCTTCACTACGATGATTATTATTGTATTTCATCCATCCTGTGCAGCTGCTGTTAGTGAAGTGTCTTTTTTCGATAGTCATTTGTTAGCACCTTTGTCAATTTAAGGTTGAATACTTACTTCTTGATGAATCTGTTAGATTAAAAATAAATAATGTGGGCAGTGGACCCACCCTTGGTCACGGTGGGTCACGTGACCTAGCAAAAAAAATAAAATAAAATTAAAATAAAAACAAAACAACGTGAAGGCCGAACGAAATTGCAAGGGAAAAATAAATTTGAAAGGGAAAAAAAAAAACAAAACAGTGACATTACTTTCTCTCTCATCGACAAATTCAAAGTCACTGTCTCACACTCTCACGGAAATCGTCACACGCCCACACCGGCACACCGTTGCCGCCGCACCTTCCAGCCACCGCCCACAGCCCAGTGGCCCACCGCACGTCCGCACAGCCGCACTTCACTCCTACAGCCTTCTAGATCTAGGTAATTTAATTGATTTTTCAAGTTTTTAATTTCGTATTATACACTAATTGTTGACTTTTTAGGTTGATTTTGCGCTTAATTGAGTTGTTTATGTTATTTAATCTAGTCAATTAGTGTGTATGTTCTTTGAAATTGTTGATTTGTTGTTAAATTTATCAAATTTGGGAGTTAGGGTTTCTGATTTTTTAAGAATTGATGATATTGAATTTCTGATTTTTTCTCTCTTTGAAATTGATATTATAAATTGACAATGGGCTAGTAAAATTGATGATTTCATATTTAATCTATGAAATTAGGGGGGTTAAGAACTTAGGGTTTCTGATTTTTTTTTGGAATTGATTAGTTTGGATAATTGCATTTCTGATTTTTTGAAATTGATATTAGAATTGGTCAATTGGATATAGTGATTAGTGATTTTGAATAATTGCCTTGAATTTGTATATGTTCAGTGGTAAGCTCACTATTAGTGTTTTAGGCTTTTAGCATACTTTATTATCAAGTTAGTGTGTATAATTAACTTGGATTTTTGAAGCAATTCTGGTTTTCTTAATCTAATTGATAATGTAGCTTAATTTTCTGAATGAAAAGGAAAAATTGTGTGATATCACAATTCTTTGGTCCGAAAATCCCTCCTCCACAAAATCCTCCTCCTTCACAAAATCCTTCTCCTCCACCTCTTCCTCTGCAAGATCCACCTCTTTCACCACAAAATCCTTCTTATCCACCTCCTCCACCACAACTTATTAGCTTTTTTAATATTCTTGCATTATTGATTAGTATACGGTAGTGACCCGCCACTGAATGTGGGCATGTTTGGTTTAAATGTTGTTTGTGTTTTTAATTTCTTTCATGTTTTGTCGATATTCATTGATCAAACATACATTCTTAGTATCTTGTTCGTGTGTTTATTTTATTTATTTAATTTCATAACCCATCCTTAAAAACTTTATAATTCATCTTGCAGGAACTTGATCCATCCCTTAATAATGTCAGGGACTGCACATGATGATGCTGCTGCTCATGAACAGAAGAGTGCTGAGAGTAAGAGTTCTGAGAGTTCTGAGAGTAGGATATTGAAGCTTTATACAGAAAGGCTCAGATCATTTGCTGTTAAAAATGGAAAACAGTCTCCACCTTATTCAGATGGAATTCTCACTCCTCCTTGGCACAAGGATAGTGGGCGTTACATGCTTAGGAAACCACGAGATGAATCCTACATTGATGCTGCATTCCGCTCCAGCCGCACCAATGAAGTCTTTATGTTCACTGGTTTTCATTACTTTGTTGTCAAGTATGATGCCCAGTCCTACTCACAAAGAGAAGCGAATGAGAATCATGTCATCACCAAATCCCCACTCTTGCTCATTGATGGTTTTTATAAACTTTATGGTTGTCCTGGATTTTGTGATGGTGGAGTCGATGCTGCTTTTGGTTGTTACGGTACTAATAAAGCGTTTCTCTTTTCGAGGAGATGGGGTGCAAAGATAGAATATGACTCTAACAATGAGGGTCAGGTTCTTGAACTTAAAGCTATGAGATGGTGGTTTATGTCTCCAGAGGATACAAAGTTTTCTCAGGGATTCTTGGATGCTGCTTGTGAATCCACCGTGCCTAATGAAGCTTACTTGTTTAAGGGCTCTGACTATGCCCTCGTTAATTACTCTAATCAGTCTCAGTTAACCCTCATCAAAGAAGGTCGCATAACAGACGAGTTCACTTGCTTGCGCAACACACCGTTTGAAAGTGATATTGGATCTGCCTTTGCTTCGCACAAATTTAAACAGTTTTACTTCTTCAAAGATAACACTTATGTGCTCATTGAGTTTGACTCTAAAGCCAAGGAAAGCCGCATAATTGCAGGTCCTGAGGAAATTGTACCCACCAACTGGCCTTGTTTAGTAAGTTATCTGCCTTACCACAAGTATAAAACAAACCCTTATCCTATACAGCCCAAAACATGGAAACCAATTTACGTGGGGGGGTTTCTCGAGTGTGTTCCCCTTGCAAACGACTCTCTTGAAAGAAATAGTTCTGAGAGAAAGAGGAAGTTGGAGGATTATGCTCCTGATGCCTCAGGAAGTAGTTCTAAGAGTATGCCTGGCCCCAATGAGGCATCACTGGAATATACCGATGATCCTTTTGACGACTATGAAGCCTTAAATTGGAGGTTATGTGAGTTCTAGCACTTAAGGTTGGTATGCATTCCGGTAATTTTGTGGTTTAGATAGATGTTAGTGGATTTTGGTTGATGCTGGTTTGTTTTCATGAATGTGTTGGTTGATGATGTACAGGTTACTATGGATGTAGCTTATGCTTGAGTGTGTTGTGATAATGTGATGGATGATGGATGTAGCTTATGCTTGAGTGTGTTGTGATAATGTGATGGATGATGCCTAGAAGTTGATACACTAGGAGTCTTCTTTGATCATCTGATAACTCCCCTCCCTCTTTTCTAACCAAGTCTTTTGCCCAATTGTCATCAGATCTGAGTATGGATGAAGCCACAACAACATCTTCCATGAACTGGTCATCAAAGCCAGACAACCCATCGTTGGAGTCTTGGTCCATTTTTGGCAGATTTTGGGACAAAGATGTAGATGATGAACAAAGCTGCAGAACTAACTTCTCAATGATCTAGTATTACTGTTTTTTTTTTTTTTTTAAGGATTTTCTGGGTCTGTAGTTAATCTAAAACTAGGCTAACTCATTGTGCTGTGTTCATGGAAGTGTAAATTTTTTGAATGAGTTTGGTGGTTTTTGGTGAAAAACTTTTGTATTTGTTGTGGCTGAGCAAAAAATTGACTCTGAGTGTAAATTATTTGGTCATGTGCATTCTGTGATTTTCATTTTCATCACCTCCTTGCACCTTGGTGCAAGGGGTGGCCTTTTACATTTATCGAGAGTCTTTAACAAGTCTCATTTAAGTTGAATTGCATAGCTTGTTGTTGGTAATATTATCAGGAGGGTGCTGCACATTATTGAGGAGGATCTATCTCTTGCTACTGCCACTATAGGTAACCTGAACATTTCAGTTGGAAGTGACGACGATGATGATGGTCGTGACAGAGATGATCATCCTGTGCTATCAGCTGTAGCCGCTGCAGCAACGAGCACTTTGTGTCCACCATCGTTGCAGATTGTTCTTGCGGATGTACCTGATGCAGCTGCTGCTTCCCACACTTCTTCATCTGGGGGGTGATCTGAAGGGAAAAGCAAATGTGAGTAGTACTATTTACATATGGATGTCTATATGCTTTTGTAATTGGAGCTCCAGGAAGTAGAGTTTTGAATTTGTCTTTTGCAGTTTGTTTATTATGATTTGTATTTGATTTGATTGCATCTTGTTGTGTCTCATCACAATCTATTTGATGTTCTTTGCAGACGGTTTTCTTGGAAAGGGAATCCTTACTTTCTTGGAATCACAATGGTTGTCTCGCTCTTTCATTCTTTGTTTAACGTTTTGGCCTTCAAGAATGGTGAGTCGCATTTCCATGGTGTGCTATATCTGTGCTTTAACACATCAAATATCCAATTTTAAGGGTTAGCTGACTAAATCTGTTTGGAAAGTTAGTGACATTTAAAGTTTTATTTAAGTGGGGCAAAAAATGCACTCAATTTAAGTATGTTTGGAAATCAGGAGTTTGATTTAGGGGTGAGAATGAAATCTAAAGATGTGGGATATTAGTTGATTATATGTCTTTTATGTCCCCAAATTATTTTGGGACTATGGCTTTGTTGTTGTTGTTGTATTTGTCTTTATGTCTGAATTAGATAACGAATTGTTGTAAATCAGGTGTATAATTAAATTTTGCTAAAGCTTTTGATGTTTAACAGTAGTTTGGTCTTTGTTATGATTCTCCATGGTGGAAAGCAACTGAGTATACTTGTTTAAGAGAAATTCCAAGTGTGAATTAATGCAGTTAGTTTGAGATTTATTTGACTTATTCTTAATTATGTTATGACTTTCCTTGTTTATGGTACAATTGAAGTTTTCAATAGTTTAGATGGGAATATCAGGTATGAATAATTTTTGGTTACTCATATAGGTTCTTTATTCAAGTGGGTTTATTAATTACTGTTGAATGAAATTAAGTATGATTTCATGCCTCTACAAAATCCACCTTTGATGGAAAATAAATAAAACACTAAAATCTCAATGGCGTGAGTTTCCTGGTTTTGCATTGGTGATCGACTTGGACAGACGTGAGTGATAATGCAGGTTCGTTACTTCATTAATTCTATCCTTGATTGTTGTGTAGGTTAACACTTTGTGGTGTGTTACACAAGTGGAAACAACCTGTGGCTCTCTTTATATGAACTTCAAGTATATAGACTGAGCTAATTTTTAATATTTAAGTGGGGTGTATAAGTAGCATGTGCGGGATTTAATCTCAGGTCTTAGGTGCCATCTTCTAAGACTTCTACCAATATAGCCTGTTGGTATTCACATCGAGTTGACATTGATGTAAGGATGACTGGTTTAGTCTAATGTCTGATTGATTTCATTTTCTATATGTATTCAGATGATACGGGATGAGGTTGGTGTATCTAAAACGACAAGGGATAAGATGTTACTTGAGCTGGAGCAAGAGTGCTTAGACGTATACATGAGAAAGGTTGATCAAGCAAACCACTGTAGAGCTTAGCTATGGCAGGCTATTGCTGATTCGAAGGCGGAGCTTGCAGCCATCTGTTCTTCGTAGAGAGAGCGACCACTACCTATTACTTCCTCCGGACCATATTGACTTGTGCATTTGGATTTTTTGATACTATTCACATGTAGTTAGAATTTTCTATATATGTATCAATATATAAGTCTAATAAAGGATACTATTGCATAAGACATTGGTGATAGCTAATAACATGAGTCTTCTGTAGTTACTGTCCAATTTTTAAATGTGTTAGTCATGAAATGCTGAACCTGGACAAGATTTAGGAGTAATATTTTGATTTAGAAACTTCGATATTGAATACTTCCAACTTGGTCTTTATTTTTACTGTTGTTTATTCGCTGACATGAGATGCCAAGGTGATCATAATTAAGATGAAGTGGAGAAAGAACTACCACAGAACCAAAGTTCCGATAGGTAATGCAAATTTGAAAATCGATATTTATGACATTACTTGAGTGTCTCAAACTCACCTCATCCCTTAGAAAGGATATATTAATGGGTTTGCAGGCGTCAACTAGGTTGATGATAACTAACATTGGAATTAAGAAGCTAGAGACACCACCAGTCGAGTAACCAACAAAAGCATGTGAAAAAAAAAGTGGAAAAGGTTGCAGTGGCTGCTTTGTCGGGGGTCATACAATCAATGTGGATTTTTTTTGATGTGTTGTTGGATGTTTCTTTCTCAACTTGCAAACTGATGCGGTGTGTTCATGTTCTGCACAGCCATACTTGTAAGGACTTATGAATCTGTAGTTGTAAAATTAGTTAATTCGTAAACCATAAACCAAACCAATCAATTCTTCTTTGAATGATAGAAGCTGTTGTTTACAGAATTTGCTCATTATTAGAATTGTCTTTTTGATGTTGCTGTTAACTTCTTTGGATTATCAGTTCGTCTATGGCCATTGGTCAGTAGTTAGATCTGGTGTCTCATGTCCGTGATGTAAGAAATTATAGTTATACAAGAGGGATATCTGCCCCTTTTTGCATATGTTTTTCTTTTTTCTTCAACTCAGTCATGATTGTGACTGCAGAATGCAATACACTACTGTAATTCACTGTTTATATTCAGAAATTATTCTCCGACAATGTGAATCAATGATTCCTTATTTTTACACCTTTTCATCTTCTCTCACCACCCCCCCAAAGCTATAAAAAAACTGAAGTCCTGTTGGACTGTTTGGCGTCAGAGAAAGAGCCTTCATGCCAGTCTAGTGTTTAGGAGATGAGATTGTGTATATCTTGACCTCTTTGGATGTGGGTGAAGGTACCACCACGTCAGTGTTATTTGGCTTGCTTATGTTGCTGCATGATGCTTTTGTAACTGCCTCCATCCTCTTGAGTGATATATTTAATGGTAAATGACTTATTTTATTCAAATGTAATGTTCTTTTTGTATCTATGCCCTCATGTAGTCGACATGTGATTTCAATGTTGAGGGCGTGATTGCTTTGTTTGTATCACATTTGCCGGTAGTCAGTTTGGTTAAAGGTCAAAGATATTAGTCATATTACCAATCAAAAGAAGGTGAAAGTCAACTCCAGAGTCCTGAAATCAACATTTCCAGCGAGGAAACAAGTTGCGTCATGTTTATTTTGCCATATTCAAAATGGGCATCTATTCTTGTTTACTTCACTTAGTTTTGTTTATATGAACTTTTGCAGCATTTTATAAATGATGGGTTCAGCCTGCATATATATTTCTTCTCATTCTTTTACCTTCCCATTTAGGCTGGAAGAGAAGATTGCGAATTTGGAATCAGAGAATCAAGTTCTTCGCCAACAAGCTGTCTCAATGGCATCAAATAAGTTTGTGTCCAGTCGCCAAAGATCAATGCTTCAGGTATGTCCAGTGATGGATGTTAGATCTTCCGCTGTTATAAACAATCTTCCTGTTATTGTTTGTCTCAGAGATAGGGTTATCAAATATGTTTAAGAGATTGAAATAAATTCGAGAGAGTAGTAAGAGAAAATTTTGGAATTGTGAGAGAAAAGAGTAAGAGAATGTGGGAACCCTTAGTGCATATGAAGAGGGAAAAAATTTCTCCTCATTTGAAGTTGAAGATTATTTTGGAGCGTCTCATAATGATTAAGAAAAAAAAATTATTTTGGGGTGAATGGAGTAAGAATGTAATCAATTCCAAAAAGTTTCAAATCTGAATGTTCACTATTGTTTCTTTATTCTGTTAATTGGCAGAGGGGGTCTGAGAGTGCTCATTTTCCAGACTCACATCTTCGGTTATGCTTCTTAAAGTCTTCATGTCAGCTAACTTTGCCTCATGTTTACACTTCACACTATTCTTCTTTCTTTCTTTCTTTCTTTCTTTCTTTTTATTTATTTACATATTTGTCCTTCCTCTCAATGCTCTAGGATTTGCATAGCCCCTCCATGAATCGTAGAAAAGGCGAAGTAGAAGAGAAGCCACAAAAATTCCTTAACGAGAAACAACAGGAGAATCAGGAATTGCTTATTCGATGTATAGCACTGCCTCTGGGTTTTGCAGTGGACAGACTTATAGCTGCTTGCATAATATACAAATGCCTTCTTCATTGGAGATCGTTTGAAGTGGATCGAACTAGTATCTTTGACCGATTAATACAGAGAATTGGTCATGCTAATATGCTATTGAGGTTTGTATTCCTTGCTGCTATGTTGGTATGGATGCTATAGGTGTCTGCTACAAGCCTACCAGTGTTTGTACATATCCGATTGTCTGGCATGTCAAGGATCAGTTTTTTTTTTTTTTCTTTTTTTTTTCACATGGGGATACTGGGGCAAGGACCTCTTTATGAAACATAATACTTACGGCCCGTTTGGTTGTTGGGATTAAATAGTGGGAATGGGAATGAACTTATAATTTATCTTATATAGGGAAGAACTCTTGAAATCTCTATGGAGAGTCAATTTGCTCACAAGTTTTTCTTCATGGGGAGTAATCTTGCCTCAAACTTCTCCATGGGGACATAATTTTGCCCCTCAAGTTTCATTACCACTCATTACCATTTTGAGGAGTGATATTGTGTGGGAATGAAAATTGAAGGAGAAAAATGGGCTTTTTGGGATGAAATGACATTCCCATGGGAATGAACATGAAATTTTTTCATAAATTTACACACAAAATCATTCTCATTACCACCATTTACTACCAACAACCAAACGGGCCGTTAATGTCATAGACTTATATGTGTGCCTTCACTCTACAAGCACAAAATCACTTTCCAAGTTGAGTTGTGTACTAGGTCCCATTCATTGCTTCAAAAAAAGGAGGAAAAAAAAGGTCCTATTCATACAATGACTTATAATCACTGACATTGGCTGATGTTGCGATTATAAGGTACATATTCGTTGACAAAACTAAATGTCAATGTATACACAACCAGAATCACAATGCTTGGTAGCAACTTTAAAAAGTCTCAAACCAAGGATCACTTGTGATATGCGGATTTTGATAGTTAGAAAAATGAACGTACTTACAAATAAAAAGTTACTCCCTCCGTCCCAGCAGGTTTGCACCATTTTTGACTTTGGGGTCAAAGTTTGCAAACTTTGACCCCAAATCCTCTTTAATATATATGTTAAAACCCTATCAATTGAGATCTTGTTTGATTCGTCATAACGTGTAATTTTTAATTATGTAACTTTTATATTTTTACAAACACAAAATTGAAGATATTTATGGTTAAATGTGTGTCTTGGAGACTGTGAAAAGGTAAATGTTGCAAACCTATTGGGACGGAGGGAGTATAAGACTAACCCCAAAGAAACATTGTCAATAGTGATCTAAGTGAATTGTGTATGCCTGTTGCACCAATAGAAGTTTATCTTTAGTATAGTGTCCAGAATCCATTCGAGTAACGGGTATCATCATAGATAAAATGCCAAGATAATCAATCATTGAAATAGAAGGGGAAGCCAAATATTTGGGTGCATCATTCAAGGAATTCAATAGGAGCCAGATTTGAAACTGTATGAAATACAAAATATGCAAAATTAGTGACATATCAATCATAAAAGAAATTTAGACACTTTAGCTTCTAGTTCAAGATAGATGCTCTACATGTACAGGTTGGAAGTACAAGGAAGATACAACGTAGCTCTGAGAAAGTTTGAAGATAAAAAAAAAAAAAAAAAAAAAAAAACGCTATCACATGAAGAACAATTCTATAGCACCATATCATTCTCTTACTCTCAGTAGTAATATGAAAAAGATTGAAGGTTAGGCATTATCTTTGAGATATGCCTTAACAAACATTATTGATATTTTTGTAATTGCCTACAAAACTGAAGAAACTAAGCAATGTAATCTAAAAGTTCGGCTAAAATTTTCAAAAATATTTAATTCGCCTATATGCAATCTCAAAAGCAATGCTAGTGTATTGAGATAAGCCTTAACACAATTACACGAAAATGGGGGGGGGGGGGGGGAAATTCTATAAAAAGTATCATGAATCAGAAATGAAAATGATCAAACCTTTTGCCGTGAGGCATCATATTTATCTTGTTCAATTCTTTCATGACTGGTCATATATGTCCATGAACTTTCCAAACCTTCCAACCAATTAACAAAGAGCTGCATGCATGCCACCAATTGTTTGTGTACCTGAGGATAGATCATGCACAAGCTTTTGTTCTAAAATAATTTCCAAATTGTCACACTTTCTAAATCTAAAAAATTAGCACTAAATTTCCTCTAATAACATCTATATCCTTGCCAAAATTCTTAGTATTAAAAAAATTTTACATAAATATTTGAAATAAAGACAAACTAGAAAACACATATGAGTACATACATTGGTAATTATAGTATTGAAATACAATGCAGAGTAACAACTTTAAGCATAAGGCTTTTAAGGTACTAACAGTAAGCTCAATCACAACTTTGAACTGAGGAAATTCTACAAATAAAGAAACTTACATATTTCTCACGCTAGAATGCTGCTTATCTTCAAAGCCCTTGTAAACTTGCAACACAAATTAATTAATTAGAACACAAATTCACTGAATTATAGAAAGTATACCTCTATGATATACACAACCATGAATTGTAATGCTTGAAAAATTGCATACAGTACATCAATTCATCTAATTAACATAATTCTTCTGCAAAAGGTTTATTCCCCCATCCCCAAGGGGCCCACGCCACCCCACCACTAGGGCTACACGTGAGAGGTAAATCGCGGCACGTGCCTCAGTTGGGAGAGGGAGAGGATGCTCCTGATAATCAACCAAAGCTCGAATCAGGATTCGAACCCGGGCGGGAGGTCATATTCTGCAATCACATCCTTGCCTTCACCTACT